CTCACTTGTTTTTCCATTTTCTAGGATACAACAGCCAACATGATTCCTCCCCTGTCCCCAGGATGTTCCCAGTCTTTGGGAGGAAACACATTCCAACAAGTATAGATCATCCTGAGTGTTGGCGTGGGAGGAACGCAGAGGAGGTCCCTAACCTGGAGTGGGGGTCAAGGAAAGCTTCCTGGTGGAGGTGGTACAGAGGGGCCTTGACTTACGAGTGTCCCGACTAAAGAGTTTTTCGAGATACGAGCCGTCTCTTGGCCGATTTTTTGCTTTGAGTTTCGAGCTAAATTTGGTTACGAGCCAGCTTCAGATACCCCGCCGCTAGTTGGCGCAGCGAACGTCACAGTGAACGCCACAACATCAGCCCAGCATTCAATTCATTGTAATGGTGAAAACTGATTTGACATACGAGTAATTTGAGTTACGAGCTCGGTCATGGAATGAATTAAACTCGTAAGTCAAGGCCCCACTGTATTTATGTGGGAGAGATGCACAGGATTTAAGGTGCGTACTCATGTCAGACTGGGGGTACAGAAACAGCTAAGAGTTTAATGGCTGGGAGGGGTTCTTAGGCCACACCCCCTCCCACCATAAGGATTCTTGCACACAGGGTTAATTGAGGGAGGATGCTTAGCAGAAAAGAGTGAGGGAAGCAGAGTAGGATAGAGGCCAGAGCTCAGCCTCGCTTCACGGGCAGCCCTCAGCCTGAATGGGACTGGCGGCTGGTTTCCACTGGACTCCAGCCCAGGCGCGTTCCCCCTACCCGCCTAAGTGGACTTGCTTTGTATCTTTCCGCTGCAATAAGTCATAGCCACGAGGATGACCCTGTTGCGCGCTGTGAGGCCTCCTGGGGCATCCAGGAACCTGGGGCCGGTCCTACCGAGCCCCCCTGGGGTAACCATGACCCCAGGAGGAGGAAGCTTTCTTAGGCCACACCCCCTCCCGCCATAAGGATTCTTGCTCACAGGGTTAATTGAGGGAGGATGCTTAGCAGAAAGGAGTGAGGGAAGCAGTGTAGGATAGAGGCCAGAGCTCAGCCTCGCTTCACGGGCAGCCCTGCAGCCTGAATAACACCATGGAGTTGATCTCCCCTTGGGGTGAGGGCTGGCCTCTTGCCCCTTTGTGACCATCTGCTATTGGCTGTGGTCAGGTCTGAGGGCTCATGCAGCCATTGGACTGGAGGGCCGTTCTCTGGGGGAGGGAAAGCTGTGAGCTGTGAGCAGGGAACACTCCAGCTGTGGGGATGGGTGCTCCAGCTGTAACAGGTGGCTGGACAGGGCATTAACAGCGCCCACAGAGGGGCTACAGTTAGTCTAGGATGTCTGGGGTCTCTGGCAGGGGGTAGGGAGCAATGAGACCAGAGGAGGAGACCAGTGTAAGACCTGGCAGGGTCTTGATGTATGCATGAGCCTGCACTTCATCCCCAGGTAATAGGGAGCCATGGGAGGACTTAGAACATAGGAGGGACATGGTCAAGTTGGGAAGGGCTGCCCTGGAATTCCCCCACATTCAGTGTGCAGATACATGATGTCTCTGGGGCTCCTCCAGGCTGACTTCTTCAATCTGGGGCGCCCCTAGATTTCCCCTTGGCCGGGAAAGTCACAGGGGGTTAGGCTTCTGCAAGCAGCTGTGCGTTTCCTCCAGTCCGTGCTTCCCCTTCTTCTCCCCTCGTCCCTGCAGGATCGCAGCTGCCCAGATTGTATAGCCTTGGTCACCGCCTCTGGGTTTGAAGGGTAGTTGGCACCTGTGTCCTCACTCACCAGGACCTCAGCCCCCATCTGTGGTGGGGGAAACCCCTCCACCTCAAGATGTCCACATCCAAATCCCAGAGCCTGTGAATATGTGACCTGCCAGGTGAAAGGGACTTTGCAGAGGAGGTGAAGTTAAGGGGCTTGAGATGGGGACATTATTCCGGACTCTCCCTGTGAGTCTAATGTGACCACACGGGTCTTCTTAAGAGGGAAGTTGAGGGAGAGAGAAAGAATGACAGAAAAAGAATGAGAAAGATTAATTGAGGCATCTTATCTATCTAATGAGAGAGAGAGACAGAGAGAATGAGAAAGATCAATCAAGATAGCTACAATCTATCTAATGAGAGAGAGGGTTTAATTGGCTGGAAGGTGATACAGTGCTGACTTGGAAGATGAAGGAGGGAGCCTTGAGCCCAGGAATGTGGGCGCCTCTAAAAGCTGGAAAAGACACAGAATGGATTCTCCCCTAGAGCCTCCAAAAGGAATGCGGCCCCCTGACATCTTGACTCCAGCCCCAAAAGACCCATTTGGGACTCAGCTCGTAACATCATGAATTTGTGCTGTTTCAAGCCTCTACGCTGGTGGCTCATTTAGCACAGTCATTTAGCACAGTGGATACTAGTAATGACAATCATAACTTCTATTACTGAGTATTTAATTTGTGCTGGGAAGGGTTTTATGACCTTTATCGCATTAAGCCTCAAACCCTATGAGATCATTATTACCCTCATTTTACCGACACAGACAATTGCTTGTGGTGTGTTGGTTACGCCTTGCTGTGTAACAGTTACTCTAAAAGCTCAACAGCTTTACAGGACACATTGTTTCTTCTCCTGTAGTTTCTGAGGGTCAGGCAGGTGGCGGTGGCTTCGCTGGATGCTTGTGGATGGGGGTCTCTCAGGAGGTGACCGTCAGCTGCTGTCTGGAGTCCTTGGTCCCCACACATGGGTTCCCGTAGCTCTGTGTGCCTTTCCAACATGGTGACCAGCTCTCCTTCCCTCCACTCTGACCGTCAGCTGCTGTCTGGAGTCCTTGGTCCCCACACGTGGGCTCCCCGTAGCGCTGTGTGCCTTTCCAACATAGTGACCGGCTCTCCTTCCCTCCACTCCGCGAGTGACCCTGAAAAGAGAGAGCAAGGGGGGAGCCACAAGGACTCTTATGACCTCAGTTGTGTCTGATGCCATAATCTCAGATGATATACGATGTTACATCCTCCTTACCCTGTTCATTAGAGGCAAGTCTTAAGTCCAGTGCACACTCAAGGAAAGAGAGTTTAGGCTCCCCCTCTTGAAGGGAGGAGGACAAAGCGTTTGTGGACATGTGTTAAAATGACCCAGCTGGTCTGTCTGCCTCCTGGGCCCACACTCCTGGATGCGCTGAGCAGGATTATAGAGGAAAATACAAGCCCGAGCAGCCCCTCCCAGATGGCAGTATTACCTCATGTACTGTGTTCCCCCTACAGTGACCCTCAGAAACAGATCCTATGTTATGCCCATTCTCCAGATGAAGAAACCGAGGCCCAGGGAGGTAAGCCACCACCCAAGGTCACTTTGGGAATATCTTGCAGAGTCAGGATTCGATCCCAGGTCTGTCACCACAATAGCCAACACGTGGGGCCTTTCCTGTGTGTCACACACACCCAGTCCTCGGATGCTCATGTCAGCCCCGTGAAGTAGATTTTACTATCACCAGGCCCATTTCACAAATGCGAATGTTGAGGCACTGAGAGACTGAGAACTTTCCCAGGACCCCACATGACGAGCAAATGGTAGAGATGGGACTTGAACCCCACCCCTGGGGATGTGCCGTCTGGTTCCAGAGTCTGCGCTTATCGTCCAGAGCCTCTCTTAGACACCGGGCAGCTCTGTTTAGCCTCTTCTTGGTGCAGTTTGCCATGTTTCCACACTGGCTCTTAACTGCAGCTTCTGGGGGCAGGACCCCTGGATGCACAAACAGGGGACCACTATGCATCTGCTCTAGTGGCCATAACTCCAAGATGGGTGTTTTTTTGCAGAGAGCAAAAGGGAGAAGGCGAGAACCGGCGGCACATTTTCTTCCAGGGAACTTGGGGCGGTTTCTGCACCTCGTTTTTAGCTCCTGGCGGATGCTCTTGGTGCCTCTCCACATCCTCAGCGCATGGGAGACTGGCCTCTGTCTCTGGAGCCTGTTCGGTCTCCCTGGAGACCAGGTCTGAGGTGTCATGGGCTGACACGAGGCTCAATGCGTGACTGACAGTAGCTGGTGGATAAATACCCCAGCTCCCTCGCCCTCAGTTGGGATAACGCTGCAGAGTGGGCTCTATGCCGCCTTCAAGAGGCGCCCAATGAGGTTAAGCCCAGGTTGTCACGTGTATGTGGCTTGTTAACACCCTTTGTGGGTTGGATCCCTGCCCAGCCTCACGACCTCCCCCCACCCCCCGAGTTTCCTGAGAAACTACTTTCACTAGAATCCTTGCTTCGGCATCTGCTGCCGGGGGACCCTTACGAAGGCCTAGACCTCCACAGGAATGAGATTGTGTGTGTGTGTTGAGTTGGGGCCGGGAAGGGGTGAGCGTGCTGCTGTGCACCGTGGCGATGGCAGTGATGTGATCAGATACAGTGGAGAGCTGAGGAAGGTGAAATAGTCACATCTCTAAACTTGGCAGAGGGCCCTAGATTCGAATCTCAGGTCCTCAGGCAGTCTTGGACCTGGCACATCTCCTCTCCAAAGCCTTCCTTTTCCATTTTTTTGGTAAAATAGGTGGAGTTGAAATTCCTACTTTGCGACGTTGACTCGACGATGTTGTTAAATTTTGTTAGCCATGTGTCTAGCGCAGGGCCTGGTACATGATAACGGAGCACAGAGGCCCTGGAGCTTGGGGCTTGCTTCTTTGGGGGCAGGTGGCCGAAGCTCGTTTAGTATCGGCTGCAATAAAACAAGATGATAAGAAACGGGAGACAGATGTTGGTTGGGAAGAAAAAAAGATCAGGGGGGAAGCTGAGAGAGAGAGAGGGAGAGAGAGAGAGAGAGAGAACAAACATAGTGGCCCACCAGCCAGACCAAATTCTCTTCTCCGTGGAGAAAGGAGAATTTGAGAGTTTGCACACTGTCTGCATGAGTGGCAGCAACTCAGCAAAAAAACGGTCCATGGGGCACTGGCAGTAATTGAGCAACTCCGGCTCCGCCCCCTCCTCCCCTTCCCCCGACATCCTCTGTTTCATTGGGAAGCCCGAGGATGCAGAGAAGGTCCTCCTCTTTGAATGGCAGGAGCAGCACGATGTGGACCTTCAGCCTGCTCCTCTTCTGGGGTGAGTGTGTGTTACATTCTGTCGAACTCAGAAGGCTTTTCTGGGGAGGCTCAGCCACAGCCTGACCCACAGGGAGGTTGACCGGCTGGGAGGCAAGGGGCCAGGCTGTACCCCAGCCTCTGTCAGTCATTGCTTCTAGGCCAGCGAAACAGCTGGGGGATGGCCGTGCCAACCTGGTAAAGTGGATTGGGGGGGGTTGCTAAGAGTGGCTACCTGCCCACCCCTCCTGACCGGACAAAGGGTAAAGATCTCATGAGCTGATGTAGGCAGCTCCCCAGGAAGAGCCTGCGTTTTCCTCGTCACATATGCACTCCTCCTGCTTTCACCACTTGCCCCAGAAATCGTTGGCACTCGCCCTAGTTGGTTTGCCTAGTGGTTAGAGCAGTGATGGCGAACCTTTTGAGCTCGGCGTGTCAGCATTTTGAAAAACCCTAACTTAACTCTGGTGCCGTGTCACATATAGAAATTTTTTGATATTTGCAACCATAGTAAAACAAAGACTTATATTTTTGATATTTATTTTATATATTTAAATGCCATTTAACAAAGAAAAATCAACCAAAAAAATGAGTTCGTGTGTCACCTCTGACACACGTGTCATAGGTTCGCCATCACTGGGTTAGAGCGTCAGACTGCGGACTGAAGGGTCCCGTGTTGGATTCCGGTCAAGGGCACATGCCCAGGTTGTGGGCTCGATCCCCAGTAGGAGGTGTAAAGGAGGCAGCCAATCGATGATTCTCTCTCATCATTGGTGTTTCTGTCTCTCTCCTCTCTCCCTTCCTCTCTGAAATCAAAAAAAATATATTAACAAAAAAAAGAAAGAAATAGGTTGTGGGCTCGATCCCCAGTAGGAGGTGTAAAGGAGGCAGCCAATCGATGATTCTCTCTCATCATTGGTGTTTCTCTCTCTCCTCTCTCCCTTCCTCTCTGAAATGAATAAAAATATATTAACAAAAGAAAGAAAGAAATTGTTGGCACTTAGGGAAACATGGGGACTGGCTGGGTGACAGGGTGCGTCCTGCCAGATCTCAGGTGCATCTAATGACCTCTTTCCTCTGTTTGCAGGTTGGCAGCCCTGGTCAACACAGGCTGATTTTGGTAAGAGACTCCCCCCGATTGCAGGCAGTTGGACCTTGGATAAGTGCCTCCGTCCCTCAGTTTTGCCATCTGATTAATGGGTGCTGTATGACCCTGTGTGATGGGATAGTTGTGAGGATTCAGCCCCATGTGGAGCTGTTAAGAGGGGGCTCTGGAGTCACATGTCCTGGGCTTGAATCTTGGTCCCAGTGCCATTGCCATAGGGACCTCAGGTGTTTTAGTAAATTCCAGGGACTTTAATTTCCATGAAAGTGAAGGTAAGAGGAGTGACTCCCACAGAGGTTATTTATTTATTTATTTAAACCTTGTTGCTTTATTTTGCACTTTTAAAATTCACAAAAAGATTCACAATATCTGCTTTCCCCTTTTGATTGCCAAGGCTTTATAAGACAATGAAAATGTGATCACATCAATTGGGCTTACTCACAAACAATGGACAATATACAAACACATTTTTTTAATGCAGAACATTTTGCAAAAGACACACTGGTACACATCAGAATTAATCTCTCCTAAAATTAGACTTTAAAGTTTAAAATTAAAACACACACAGACAGATTTAACACAGACAAACCTACCAGAATAATGCTGGTGGCAAGCTTATTATAAACTGCTTTAAATGTCTAAATGTTATCTATTGAACCTACATTTAAATGCAGTTGTGAGTAAAAGTCCTATAATTGAATGAATTTCAAGAAAGCGAACAACTCTTTTGCCTCCATGGTAGCTTCTCAAGTTTATTTTTTAATTTATTTATTTTAAATAAATCTTTATTGTTCAGATTATTACAGATGTTCCTCTTTTTT